CTCCTTGAATGTAAAGAACTGTCATAATCATCTTTACAACTCCAGAAATCTTGCCATAGTGCCCAAGTATATAAGGCTTGTTCAATTCAATCAAATTCCAGAATATCATTAAACCACAAGAGAAGCATGGAATATTTAAAAATGATTTTTAAATTCCCAAATGTCTTAAAATAACCATCCAGTTTTTAACAATACACATAATCAAAAATAGCAGCCTAAGGTCTACAACTTTCTGCAATTAAACATTTTTTGTTTTATCAAAGTATATATGAAATGAATGTCTTAATTCTTAAATCTGAATGATACTATATAAAGAAAAATTGCATTGAACAATTATACAATAAACTAATATAAATGATTTTGTCCACCAAAGTTACCATAACAATTTTCTAGATAATGAAACATCAGGTATTTTTATAAAAAGAATAGACATAAATTTAATTGGACTTGTTACTATTCATATCTGAAATTAATGTATGAAAGAATTATCTTAAAACTATATAATTATATAAATCATACATAGTTTATTTTACCTGATGAAATAAAAATATAATTGTGTCTGTACTATGTATCTTAGAAACATTTTATTTCTACATTCAATACCAAACAATTTCTCATATGATTAAAAATGTAATTATAGATTCCTCCAAACCTACAGCAGGAATATACAGTTATAATTATGTTAACAGTTAAAATATACTTTTTATTACTTTAATAAACTTAATTTTGGTTTTAAGGACTCTCAAAAATCTAATCAATCCAGAAATGTTTTTAAAAGGATGCATGGGAAATATTCACAGCCTGTCTTCATAATATGACTAACAGACTTTGAGAAAAGCAGGGGTTAAAAATTATCTTTTAACCACCCACACATTCCTGGATTTTGAGTGGAGGCTCCTTTAATACTTTTTCTTACTGCAGTATTTGTTGCTTAAGGAAGTCTGTGGGTGGATAAGATGTTATTATCCCTCCTACACACACCCGTTGTCTTATTTACAACATTAAATCTCCTTATACATAAGAACTTGAAGCACCAACCCCTTTATTTCAACTTCTTTCTGAAACTCTTTAAAATATGGTCCACACATTACCACACATACTTTCCTATAACACAGATATGTAGTTAATTATAGTTTATCCTGGATTTTTTTTTTGTCAAGGGTGAGTCTACCCAAAAAGACTTTGGCTTTCAACTAAGCATTATTGTTTGAAAGCAGAATTCCATTAATATCAGATCTTATGTTCAAAACTAGTAACAATTACTTTTGTATTAATGCGTTTTCTTAGACACTAAAAGACGGCACAGTCATTGAAATGGGAAAAGTCAACCTTTAAGAATTGTATGCAGTATTTGTTTCTAATTACTCTAAAGATTGCCTTTATAAAGAAAGTGCACATTTGCAGGTCTTGCTGGGAAACCAGTAAACATGTTTTAGCTAAATAAAACTAGCCCTTTGAATTGTTTCATTTGAATAAACACATCAATAGTTAAAGATTTTAAAGCTCTCTATAAAATGTACACTAAGAAGTTATAAATTTTACAAAGTTCTAGATCTCTTTTATATTGTGGTAATAATGTTCTTTCAAATGCAGTAAATGACAGATATGTCCATGTGCAAATTGATAAACTTAAATTATTTTTAAAATAAGCAGGTCTAATCTTCATTGTTAATGTAATATTCATTCACCTAATCTAGAAAAAGTGGAGGTTGATGTATTTTTAAAGTGATTTTGGATTTGGAGGTTTAATGATATAATTTATGGTAGTCACACATACACGTGTTTTGCAAGTAAATTTGTTCACTTTACTAGATCAATGCACTCTGGCTGGAATTTATATTAACTTCTTTTAAAATAAGAAATTATAAAAATAGCCACTAACCAACCAAAGTGCTTGCAATGATGACCTAATTATTAACTAAATACACATTATTGAGAATTTATCCTATAGAGACCAATTAGAATAATCAAATGTTGGATTAACCAAACAATCATAGGCAATTCAATCACATTTGGTTAATTCAAAGGAAACTGATTCTGATTCCTTTGATACCTTGGTTATAGAAACTATGTTGCATATAGAGATGAATCTATCCTCTATATTGAAGATGTAGCTTAGTCAGTCAAATATATTTTATGCATAGCCTGGTGGATATAGGTTTGAGTAGGTCACTGTACTCTAGGTTTTTAGGTTCTGGTTATAACATTTTCATGGTATCTTTTAGTAGGTTAAGTAAAATTATAGATATAAAACCATTAGTATTTCAAAGTAACAGATTAGGGAAAAAGTAATTTAGTAAAAAAAAAAATCAGTCTCTGATTTAAAAAAAAAAGTTTGTGTGCTAATAGTAAATGTTCATTACCACACTTTGAGAAAAACTATTTCAAAATATACAACTCAGGGCCTCCCTGATGGCGCAGAGGTTGAGCGCTGGGCTGCGAAGCTGCCTGCAGGCTCTGCAGCGCCAGTTCGATCCCCGGCCACCGGAGGAGGGGGTCCCACATGGTGCGCAGACCTCTCCTGCCGCCCGCTGCTCCCCGCAGCAGTGTACTTCGTCCACCTGCCTGTTCTGCTCCCTGCTCTGGCTCTGGTGAATTCTCTCACCCTCCCGCACTTCTGACTGTACCCAGTGCTTGTATAAATAAATAAATAAATCTTAAATATATATATATATATATATATACAACTCAGAAACTTAATGTTATCTTTTTAATAGTAATTATCTCTTAAAAAGTTGCTTTGTTTTTGCCTCCAAGTTACCAGAAAGCATCTATAATTGAAAGGAAGAGTAAAAAGAGAAAAGAAGAGAAGAATGAAAGGAAATTGGTTTTCAACTAATACACACATTTAAGTTGTAATGTCATATTTGTGTGATTGAAATTATTTCATAAAAATAATTTTATTCAGATCACAGGATAACATAATGAATTAAAGATTTCAATAGAAACTGCAACAAGGAAGAGTAAGGTTGACTTCATTTTACTAACGTATTAATTATAATGAATGAAAACTTGAAACTGATAACTGAAACATAAACCACCTCTTATTAAAAAATTAAAGAAAATGTATAATACAACAGGAGACATCAGTATCATAAAGCTTTAATAGAAGAAGCAAAGAAGATATTCTGTATTCTGTTTTTGTTTTGTTAAAGATGCAAAAATTAATGAGACTTGAACAGTGGAACAGTTGAAGCTCATTACAATATCTGTCAAATTAGGTCATCTACACATAAAAATAAACAGCTGGAAAATACGCAGAATTTTGCACAGAAACGACTTTCTACCAAAACCATCATTTTTTTTATGTTGATTATATTTTAATATTTCAATGGTAAAATTTCTATTCATTCTGTGAATTATTAGAATTATTACTCAAGAACAATCCTTGTTCCCTTATTTTTCTCTTTTAGTTTTAATTTGTTCTTCTAAGCTCTTTTCAAAACCACTCGGGAAAATTCTTAGAAATACTATATTAATCAACTAGAGAGAAGAAAAAAAAAAACTTAATTTCCTAGAAGTGAAAGGCTATCTCAACATCCATAGTCATGTGACACCGAAATACATTGTGAGCTCCCTTTGTACTGAATCTTGACTCCTGCTCAGATTTAGTCTTCATGGAAAGTAATTGTGCTCCAATCCGCTGCTCTAATTGTGTTCTCTCAGTATTTGTATTGCTTGTTTGAACTAGTTAAGCCTCTCATTACATAAGGTGATTTGAAAAGTCCTTACATGTTCCCCAACTAGATAAGGTGTGCTGTGGAGATGTGGCTTTCTTGAAACCAAGGTCTTTTTCTTACCTTTTATCAAATTTGCATTTAAAACTAATATTTACTTGGGGTCATTTATTTCATAATTTTACCCCCAACTTGAGCAAGGTCTTGAGAGTTTTTTTATGTTTTAATTCATTCTCTCTTTTAAAGATTTATTTATTTGTTTGTTTGTTTGTTTATTTATACAAGCACTGGGTACAGTCAGAAGCTCAGGAAGGTGAGGGAATTCACCAGAGCCAGAGCGGGGAGCAGAGCAGGCAGAAGGACTGAAGTACACTGCTGAGGGGAGCAGCGGGCGGCAGGAGAGGTCTGTGCGCCATGTGGGACCCTCCTCCGGTGGCCGGGGAGCAGCTGGGGATAGAACCGGCGCTGCAGAGGCTGCGGCAGCTTCGCAACCCAGCGCTCAACCACTGCACCACCGGGGAGGCCCCATTCTCTCTCTTTTTTAATATTGCTGTTGAAATATTTTTTTTTGTTTTTCTTATGTACAAAGGTAAAATTCTGTTTGTATTTCATTTGGAAAAGCATTTTGGGAAATTTACAGTGAAGATTCAATCATTAAATAAAATGTTATTTGGTAATAAATTCATCAGAGCACACTATTCAAGTTTTGAGTTCTCTCACATACTTCCTTAACAGACAACTAAAATATGAAAACATACTTTATTTTAATAAAAATAACTAAGGATCAACTTAATCAAAGAAGATCTTATTTTCAATTTTCATTGACTTACATTTTGTTACTCTTAAAATTTTCTAAAAACTAAAATTTCTTCAGCTTTAAATTATAAGTCTAAACATTAAGGTCCTTGTTTACATAACTATGAACATGTCCATATTAATATCTAGCCAATGATGGCAGCTACTGCATATTTTAAAAATCAAATATTTAAATAACTATCTTATGAATTCTTTGCATCCTGTCAAATATGCTTGGAAGCTTCTGTTAGGAAGTTTTAACAAACATCTATCTCCAATAAAACACAGACACAAACAGATGAATTAAAAAAAACCTAGATGAAGACAGTTCTTAAGTATTATTCATAAATAAATAAAATAATGTGCATGGAATACACACTGATTTAATAAAGAGAATGATATTTTTTATGCTTTTCCCTTCCCTAAAACGCAAAATGTGAATTTGCCTTAGCTATAATAGCATATATATAAGTATCCATAAATAATATCCACATATAAGTCTTCAAATACATAAAAGACAATGCCTACCTCCATCTCCAGATCCTGATCCAGCATCTGGGGAGAAAATGAAATAATTCATTTTTTGATTGAGAAACATTTTCAAAAAATATTTATGCCATTTACTTTCTTCATTTAAGATTGTAATATCATTAAGAAAGTCACTGATAATTTGACCATGTGTTATTTGCATAATTTAATTTCCAAAATAAAAAAATAAATTCACTACAATCTTCATTCTTAAACTTTGCAAAAACAATATTTATGGGTTTGGAATAATTCCTAAACTATCTTATGTAAACAATCTCATATTTTTATTTTAATCAGACTCAGTTTGACATCATTATTGAAAAATGAAATGCTTATTTTCTTATAAATTTCATACACACAAAGACAGTTTAAAGTTAATAACGTTTATATAATTTTTAATATGTTTTCCAAATGCCACCATTGTGAATGATTCTATTTGCAACAAAAGCTACCTCTTTGAAATCAGTAGAACTATGAGCACAACTTTTTGCCTTTGAGATTAAAATTGGGTATAACTTAAGCAATGCTGGCAGAAAAAATAATAAACTCCCTTCTGAATTCTTTCTTCTCACCCCTCCCTTCCACATAATTATGGCTGGTCAAAGTCATCTGTTTCTGAGTACTCAGTTCTCGAAACAACCTATATTTGTAGTTGGAGTTATAATCATTGCGCTTCCACCTATTAAGCATATTATAATCTCCTTGTACCTTGTTCTTCTTTCCTTACTAAATAGATTCGGTTACATATTTTAAAAGTTAATACTTGGAAATAAAACTATTAATTTTTTAACCTGATATACTCTAATCTCACACTGGTATCTCAGTCAGGGTTCAAAACCTCTATCAAAAGTGACTGCTCTGAATTTGTGTCTGAGGATCTAGTTCAATTAAAATAAAACACCACTTCTATTTGCTTGCCTCCATGATGCTATATTGAGTGGCACCTCAATATACAGAAAGAAGCATAATGTACAAAAATCCACAGAAGGCTGATCTATGTGGAAGAATGGATGACTCTCCATGGTCTTCCTTGCTATCATATTAGGCAATGACACTGCTGTGAAGGAGCAGTGTTTTGAATTGTCAGCCTTGTTGGATTTCATATTAACAATTCACAAGGTCTAACACTATTAAATCAGAATGTTAAATTGTTAATTAACTGCTAATGTGACTATGACATATATCTTTGGGCCAGCATATCTCTTCCTCAAAGGCAAGTTAATTTATAAAACAATTAACAATAAACCCCCTTCTTGATAAATGTATAATCAAAAAGTATTTTAGTTATATGATTTGACTTTAATAACAGACTGTGAAAGGCTAATGCATTCAGCTCTATAATGGGGGAATAGTCCAGTCACCAAAATTGATAATTATAAGTCACAGCACAATTTCTTTTGGACAGGACAGTGTTTCAATAGTCAATGCATGTCAAATATCTTTTTTTGTATACTTTCACGGTTAAAATTTTAACTGACTTTATTTGACTTAATTTTAAACCTTAATTTAATGTTACTTATAATCACCAGGGGGCTAGTAAGAGTGCTATTATAGCACTAACACACTCTACCTGTGTTTTAGCTAAATGTGTTTCCCTTTTATTTCTCACAAAGATCTTAAACTTCTTTAAATTGAGGACTATGTCTTGTTGCTCGCTACTTTTATATACTTATGTGCTGTTTATCTTTACTTATATACACTTAAGAGGAAATGCATAAATGCATGTGGTAATATGATAACAAGCCCTATATGCAACTCATTGGATGACATAAGCAAAGTGAAAGAGAAACACCTAAGAAATCATGCTGTTGAACTTGTATCTCAGCTATTAAATGCATTTTATGTAAGGCAGGGAAAAAAAGGTGAAACTGACAGTAAGGCTATTTAACAGAAGGACCAACAGAGAACATATTCTCAGCAAAAAAGTACTTCTAAGTTAATGAAGTATAATAAATATAAAGTTATATGTTCTACTGCCTTTACTCCCAGAGATCACAATTTGCCACCTTCACTCAGTGTCAAAGGGCATTAAAAAAAAAAAAAAGGAAAATCTATTAAGAAAAGAATGAGAATTTCTGTTAGATCAAAAGTCAGAACTCCAATTTATTTACAGTCAGACCTGGTTAATCAAAATTACTTTGCTCTCTCCATCATTATTCAGATCAAAAACCTTTTTAGATTTATAAGTCCATGGAAGATGCATTCAGCAAGACTGACTTAGTAATTAAATCCTGCAGAAATCAAAGTATGTGAATGAGCCAAGGGTGGATTACTCAATTGTGATTAAATTTTCTACTTCACTAAGTATTTATTTTCATAGTATAACACATTAGTAAGTAGGACAGAAAGACTTGAATGCATCTGCAGGATGTGGTTGCTGACAATAACTGACAAAAACTTGGAGGTTGACAATAAGAAAGAGATTTTGTTACTAAATACTGTTAGCTATAACCATAACTTCATGATATTTATATAACTACTGCCCACTAATCTTCATTTGGCTATTGTTAGAGACAGAGAGATATCCTACGTCACTTTGAAAAAGCAAATCCTTTCATCAGTAGTCTCTGGTATTTGGCTGTATTATTCCTTGTTTATGGGAGTTAGAGTTTCCATTTTACTTTATTACATTTGTTCAAAATTATAGTTTTAAATTTTTGTCCCACAGATATAACAGATTGGTTTTTCATAATTAGTTTGCTCTTTGTCTTTCTCTTTCTCTCATCCTTACTATGAAAGCAGTAGGTGGGGGTCCTTCTTCCCTACTGGGGAAGATGGTCCAATGACTCGCCCATGGTGCTGTCACTTTTATTTATAAATTCTCAGAGATCCAGCAGCAATGACCTGTTCGCTTTAGCAAATAAGAAACAAGTAGAACACCAGTCCAGTTTTTCTCCCAATCACCCGTAAGTAAAGACTTTCATATTGGAAAACAAAAGTCATGTAGGAAAAAGGCTACTCCAAAAACCAAACCAAAACCAAATAGCCTGCATCATTGTCCACATGAAATGATACCATTCTTTTCTACTAATTCTTAGATACACTGGTAGTCACCAGTAAAACTTAGAACATTATTAATTACTAACAATCAATAGTCTTAAAATAATCTTTTAAAAAATATGAGACTTTCTCCTTGTCCATTTACCATCTAACCCCAACCATTAAACATGTAAATATTAACATTATTATTTCCTAGAATAGAAATAACTGTTATCTAATAATGACTTTTCAATGACATAGGCACTATTTTATATTTCCATATTTGAAGGAGGTTCATATTTTATATCATGTTTTTTTTTTTTTTCCTCTACTATGTTACATAATCCAACTCCAAAAAAGTATGGCTTTCCAGAAAGAGGTTTATTTTCCAATAAGGACAACTTTCATGGGGAACCAAAGTCTCTTTAATATATTTGATTTTAAATGTCTAAAGCCAAACTGGAAAGCAGCTTTGTTTAAAGCAAACAGAGCTTTATTCCTCTTGCGTTTTTTTCTGCCTGCAATGTTGTTCAAATTAACAACCACTGCACACAAAAGGAAACCCTGAATAGTTTCTTCCTCATCCCTCTCTTTCTTCATAATATTCCTGGTAAAATAAAACTAAAAAACTTTGCAGAATGCCAGGTTGACTGTGTCAAAAAAGGACATATGTTATTAAAAGCAATGGTCATCACCAGTATATTCTTCAATATAATCTGCTTAAAACAAAGAAAAGCATTTCATAGAGCTGCTAAGGTTAGTCACATATTAACTTCTTAACCAAATTTGCAAAGCTACTCTCTGAAAGACAATGCTAGTATTCAAAGCCAGAAAGAAAACAAAATTTTATGGATACATATCTATTTCTATATATTTGGTACATAAATATTTCTATATATTTGGTATTTTGGTTTCTATGTATTTGGTACCTGGCAAGTCAATCTAGATTTCTAACTACATTATTCAACTGTGTGTACTTCATTAAATAACATATGCATTAATATCTACTTATACTTTTATGCTGAGTTTCTTTTTATTGCTGAAGTGATTTGAGATGCAAAAAGACAAAGAACAGGAATAATGCATGCTTTGTATAGAAGAGTAAGAGGCTTCTCTAATCAATAAACAGTTTGAATTATTTATCTGGCCATAACATAAGTGGAAAAGCAAGACCTGATTTTTGGATTCAGAATTCATTAAGCGGTTTCAGAGAGTCTTCAGGGTGATATACATACCTGTGGCACATGATCCTTCAGACACCACAAGTATCTCACTCTGCTGTTTGCATGCAGCCTGTCGCAGATAACACTCATTCTGGTAGCTCTCCCCATTGGAACCACAGACAGGCACATAATCATTGTTGCACTGGAGAACACAGCAATGTAAGTCTCTGGTCAGTACTGGAATCCACATGCCTCTAATATCTTGAACCGAAGTAACCATTTACAAAGAAATGTACTTGTCTTCATTCCCAGTTATCCCCATTGTAACCCTTAAGTCTTTAACCTTGTAAGGGCATCATTCAAAAACCCACAAAAGCAATCTCAAGTCAGTCAACCAGTCATTTGTTTCAGTTAGTGGGGGAAAAAACTTCTAAATTTATCAGGTAATTTCAACAAAGTAATTAGAAAAGCAATATTAAAAAGACATAGCAAAACATGTATCATTATTAGATAATACTGGGTTTTTGTTTTTGTTTTGCTATATGACCTATCTGATTTGGTTGGAAAAAAATTCAACACATGCCAACATATTCAAGCTATTTAAAAATAGGTAATGTGTTTGGATAAGTACACAGCTGACACGCTGAAGAATTCAATTACCTGCTAGTGTAATTTTTTCTTTGCTGAATTTTAATCTTTACAAAATTCTAAATGTTTGGCTAAGGCATTTAGATAGCTAATTAATTTTTTCATATGTGTTAAGATCATTGATACTGAGGTAGATACAATGGAAATAGAAGATTTGGAAGATTATGGAAGACAGAAAAATATTTAACAACTACTAAATATATAAACCTTCTTTACTATTCAAAAGTATGATTACTGATATATTTCATAGAGAAGTTCATTTTTAAAACAGCCTCCTTACCAAAATGTATACATTTCACAAAAGAAATTAGTAACCTATAGGGTATAATCATCATAATATAATCATACTCTAAGGCATTGGAAATACTTGGCTATGTCCTACACGTGCTAATTATGCCAGAGATGTGATTATCTCATGATTACTACCACTGATGTGCTTCATTGTTTAATTATAACAAATGTAATGATCAAGATGATTACTTATACCCACCTATGTCAGAAACTAGGTAAAGCAAATAATACATATGCATAAATGTGAAAACGCTTTCCTGTTTTTTACCCCCTATTAAAATACTTGAATTTTTGAATTTTTTCTACCCTTTATTAAAATATTTGAATTCATAATATACAAAATAAACCAATGATCTAAGATGTCTAGGAAAGTTTTAATATATATGATAATTTAACTATAACTCTATCATAATTCAAGAGTTTATGCAAAAAAGGGCAAATTCTCAATAAGCTTAAAATCTAATAGATAAAACCCTAGATTTATTTTTTAATTCTATTTCCTTATAATAGCTGTAATTTTGTCTGCCCAAGCAACCATTTAACTCTTACTCTTTGACTTTGTGTAATTATACCTTAATCATCCCAATGGTTTATAAATGGTATAAGCCAATGTTATTTGAAATAAGTCTTATTATATCTCTTATTTCTTATCTATTATTGAAAAACTTAAATTTTTTTTCTTTACTAAAAGTGATATAATTTTCTTCCAATTGTAAATCCAAATTGTACAACACCCATTATGATTACCATAAGTGTTAACATGGTAATTTAGATACTGAATCAAATCTACATAGAAACAATTTAAATATGGTTAAAATGATTTTAATATGCCATATCCCTACTTCTACAATTTCTATTGCAGACATTCTGGAGGCCCCATACATAATAAATCCTTTCCATAGTTTCACTATTAGCTCCCAGAGTCGGTCTATATGACTGTATTTTGAAAACTGTTTAGATGGGAAGAGTTTGTTAATGAGATTTTTAACTCAATAAGCAATTCACTTCTAATCAGATGATACCTGTGTAGCATGGGCTGCCTTCCATAAGCTCATAAGCTTTAACTTAAGTGTGAAAATTGATCTACCATGGGACCGACTATCTTCATCACTATTGAGGAAAATAAGAATTAGCAAAACGTCAGTGAAGGGTTGAATTTTCCAATAAATAGTATTGATGACAAAGCCAAAAAAAAAAAAGTTTCATGATCATGTTAGGACCATGGCCAAGGAGACAGATGGGTGGATAGGCGTTTGGTAGCTGTACTGTGTTCAGGAATATGCAGGGTGGATTTATAAGGAGCCACTAACCTACAATGGTATCTGAGCAAAGGAGGAGAACTGCTGGTAATATATTGTAGTCAGTAGACACATTGAGGCAAAAGAGAGCCATAAGTAGTGTGTAAGGTGGGACTAGTTAGAGTCTCATGCTTCTGTCCCTGGTTACTTTTTAATCACCAACTCTAACCCTAGTGTAGATGATTTTAGTCCATGTTTTCTTTTCCCAATCCCTAGAATTTCTATCTTTATCCTTCTCATTTCCTTTTGCAGATTACTCAGATGTAGTCAGTGGATAGGCAGTGAGGGCCGGGAAGTATTTATTATCTCTGTCAAGTGCTAGTACACAATGCTGATATGCATCCTAAAATATCGAGTCAACTGATAAAGTGTTCATATGCCACCTCGGAGGGATTCTGTAAGCCAAATGTGAACAGTGCTAAAAAGAGAGTTGCCAAGTTCCATGCACAAGCCAAAAGGGAGATTTGTATTGAGCTGAAAGAGCTTAACTGTAGATTATCAGAACAATGTTTTTGGCCATTAGTACCATGACTTGTGTTCACTAGTATGAAAACCACAAGGAGGAAGCATGATCTCAATGATTAAAGTTCAGGAATGAAGTCTGGTCCTTGGTTCTCCCACTTCTTTCTCTGCCTAGTGTAGTTCCTTGTGTAAATCACTCAACAATGAAATATTTAGCAAGTTTAAACATTACCCATTTGAATGGTTAACATGGTACATGGAGGAATTAAGTCATGTTTTTAAAACACTTTGGAATATTCACTTATAAAAAGAAAAGTAAATTATTTGTCTCTCACAATAAGTATTTTAACTAATGATCACCATAATAGACACTAAAACATGCATTTCTAAAATAAGAAAAATAAAGGAAAACACGATAACATGAAGCATAAAAATAGGTTAATTACCACATTACAATATGCCAAATTATTGGATATAGTTTTTAGTGGTAATCATAATACTGTTCTGTTTCAGATGAAGGGACAGGTTCAGATGTTAAGAGACTTGCTAAAGGCCACATAGTTGGCTGGTAAGAGAAAAACAAGACTTAGGCCCAGATGGTTAGGCCCATAATGTATGTGGTGTACAGACTTCCTCTCGAGGGAAAAGTGATTCTATTTTTCCTAAGATGTTTCAAAATTTTAAGTTTATTTTCAAATATGTTTTTCAGTAGAATGATTTTGTTCCAACATGTTCACATTGCCTAAGAAAGCAGCTACATATTACTCAAGTGGATTCACTGACTTGACACACTAGAATATATGGAACTCATTTTGCTATAAATGAACAAAAAATTTATGAGAAGTTTTCCACATAATTTATTGCTTGTTTGGTTAACAAAGTTTTCTTTCGGCTGAGATTTCAGCATCGAAAACTATGTATGACTTATATATTGTCAGCACCTTCCCTGGAGTCTGGCATATAGAAGGTGCTCCACAGATGCTAATTCTGTTATATTCCCAGTTGTCAAAGACTGAGGAATAATGGCTTAGATATAGTCTATTTCTCTTCCAAAAAAGAAAAAGATTTTAAAATGCTGCATATGTCCCAATCCTTCAATTGTTCCCTAAGTAGCTTTTACTTTTCTGGGATGACATTTCTTTAAATGCAATAATTTTATGATTTTAAGAGTAGGCAGGCCTGTGACTGTGGTCCCAGTGACTGTGACTTTCAAGGCCAGGTTATTAAAGGATACAGTTTCTACCTGACTTTTTCTCTCCCTCTGGCTGCTCGCCCTTGAAACCCAGTCACTGTGCTATGAGAAAACACAAACTATCCCATACAGAAAAAACCACATGGTAAAGGACAAAGGCCCCCAACTGACAATTGAATATATGAGTGAGAGCTCTGAGAAGAGCACAACACCAAGACTTGGATTTCCCTCCTCCACTAAGCTAATATCATTTGCAGATTTATGAGCAAAATAAATGTTCATTGTATTGCATCACTACATTCTCGCAAGTTACTATGCAGTCTCAGAAACTGGAATGATTGCACCTGAAATATAACTTATTAAAGAATAAAAACATTTAATATTTGAATAATACCTGAAAAACATAAGGTTTCATCATATTTTAATCACAAAGTGATAACTGTTTATTGCATGGTCAATACTATCTGTGAATAACTACATATGTATCTTCTTCCCTCCTTCTCTTTCTTCTTTTGTCCATATACCCATTTATCTATTTAACCATCCATCTATTCATCCATTTGTTTCCTCCAAGTTTTTACTCCCAAAACAGATTCACCAGATTGACCAGCACATCATTTAGTATAATGAGAGGAAGGTAGGATGCATGAGGTTGAGGCCATTTTTTGGAACTCACATCATCACCTAAGGATTAGTTATATTACTCTGGATAATAAAAGTTGTCTACAATAAATTAGTAGTTTTGTTGTTGTTATTGATACTTGTGTTTGCAATCATAATGTTCTGGAAAAAATTTTTATGGCAAAGGACCTAGGGTCTTTCACTTTGGGATCACCACTTAATGGCAAGTTATTTACACTATGGGTCTTAGTTACCTCATCTTTAAAAGGAGGAGAAAATAATGATCTTGATTAGTTGTGGCAAATAAATGAGACCATATGCTTGAAAGGTAGAATCCATTTATTTTAAATCATCTAAGAAAGGTAAAGGTAAGTGCATGTTTACCTTGGTGCTACAATGATAATGTAAATTGGAAAGCATTATACACACAAACACCCATTTCTCTTTGAAATTTAACTCTCAACAAGTGAGACTATAGTATACACCCTGTTTTGTATTTAAAAAAACAGAAAAACAGAGTGGATGACCTCACCAATTTTAGAACAGCATATAGGAATATAAATATTATGAACATCTTCCTTGTCTTCAGATACTGGTGCATAAACCAAACAAACAAAACCAAAAATACTCAAATTCATTGAAAAGGAGTGAGTCAAGGTACTTTTAGCCCCAAATATGCTATTATTCTTTGCACAACTTGGACATTTCTATAATTACAATTAAGTTGAGCTTCAACTTAATTCAGCCACTCTGTATTTTTGATATATGTAGTCTAGATTTTCCACTAAGGAAATGTTTATTTTCTGGTGTCAGATTGACAACTGTTGAAAAACACAAACTAATAGTATTAGTAATTTAGTAGTAAATATGAAATGTTATGGGCATAGTGAAAAGAAAATTTATTTTCAGTTTTATTCAAACTTGCATTTATACAAATATTTTCCACACAATTAAAAAAATTTAATGACAAATACAACTGGTTGAACAATGCATGAAAAACGTAAGTACCTTTGTTGATGTGTTTTTCTAAAACCGTCGGTAGGACTTAAAAACTAAACGCACTTTCTTTAATAAGAAAAGCATGCATTCCCATTAGTAGTACCTGTCCATATAGAATACCATATATATATATTTTTTTCCCTCTTGGTGTTAGAACTATGGCTTTCCATTTGAGAACTTTGATCTTTGTTCCTTTTATACTGTTTACACTGTTTACTTCTTACGTCAACTCTTAAATATGAAAATAAAACACTTTATGAAAATCACAAACTGAACAGGGAAAAAAATCCACAAACTCTTATGGGCCTTTGATTAATGATTTATCCAACTGTTACTTGCCCTTTTGTTAACATATGGGAAAAGTACCCGTTAGAGAGTTCTCATGTTCCATCTCTCACATGCAGTTCATGGAAAGAATATAATTATATTGTTCAGTTGCTACAGACCTTAGAAGCTGGTGTCACAAGCATATCAAATAAGCATTAATATGTTTCTAATACCATCTAGTATAGTTTAAAAACCTGCAGTATGGTCACAGCAATACTTACCCACCAGGAGGTGGTGCACTTTACAAATATCAGTTATTTTATTGCATTTTCTTAGAAAGAAGAAAATAATATCCAAGAAGCTTTTAGCTTATGTATAAGTCACTCAAACTAAATGTGAAATCCCTTATCTCTCTTGTTGGGATGTTGAATTTCATCTAAAATATTTATTAAATTCATCCACAATTCTAAATATTATGTTACAACAGATACTTAGTCCTGAAATTAAGTTTAATGTTTTTATTCATTCTATATTCCGTAATATATTTATTTATTTCCCTTTACAATCTTAGAAAATTTTTCACTGATCCCATGTATGTATAGTTTTGTTTATGCATATATTACTGCTTAAACTTTGTTAGCTTTCAAGTGTACTTTAAAATTCAATAATACTTAAAGATAAATATGATACTACTACAGAATCTATGATGTTTGAAGTTATGCATAATTAGTTAAACATTTTGAGAGAAAAGGTTTAAATTTACATGGTAGAAAGCATTTATTAGATGATGACTATAAAGGCATTAAGACTGTAAAAGCATTTATTAGATGATGACTGTAAGGCATTTCTATCTTTAACAGATGTTAATAACCTAATTTTAATGATGCCAGTGCTGCAATCGCTCTCTCTATTTTTATTTCTTTTTCTTAACATGAAGCATAAATATTTCTCATATTTAGGAAATGATTGTGGCAATTTGTGCCATTTGATATTCCTGGGATATTCAGTTATATAATTGAATCCAGTACCTATGGAAAGTTGTTAAGTATTAATAAGTTCCATGATTTCAAAACTAGCACAGCAGTTCTGAAGACACTAATAAGAAGTTCACTTAAAGACTTAACCAAACATCCAGAACAACAAAACAAGATAGCAATAGGATCAAAAGATAACCCTAATCAAAAAGCATAAAAGTACAAATCCACATTTTGTATCCACTGACTATTCTGTTATCCCAGTAGCTGAATAAAATGCATATGAGGAGGGGCACAGAAACATTCCTTTTCTTGGTCACACCAGAGGACAACCTAAAGCCTTCTACCTCCAGTGGCATTTATAGCTGTGGCATATATATTTCTTCCAAAGCTATGTCTTCTTGACATCAGTTGGCTCTCCTGCCAGTACTTTTGCTTGGTGCCAGCTTTCCTCTTAGCTTGCATAGATATAAATTGCCAAATGATGAGTTGTAAAGGAAGCCATCCCTGCTTTGCAGTCTCATAATAAATGAAAAGATGCAAATTGATATCAGACTTCTTACCTTGAACTGACAGACGCAAGTCACAGTGTCTCCAATTCTTAAACATTCCCCATCAAATTTACAGGTGTTCGTGTCACAGAGGAAGAGATCATTTTCTCTATCATCATAACCTCAAATTTAAAGAGAACAGTCTAGTCATTAAAAATTCTATAGACTCTAAGAAAATATCACTACTTTTAAGCTTTTAAAAATTAGCCTGAATTTTAATTCCAACAACCACAGTTATACTGCAAGCTCAGTCCCTAAAAAAATCTCAAAAATCTAGTTAAATAATCAATATTTGTTTCTTTTAAAAATTCATCTCTAGTCAATTCTCTTTTAATATTCTTTTTTGATAGTATATTTTATCTTAGTTTGGGTTAACACTGCAGTAGCAAATGAAGGTCTAACACTTGCTTCTTAGTTTCCATATTTTCTTCTCATTAAGTGTATTATAGTTCGTGACCCCCCAAACTCCAGATTTTAGTAAAGAGCTGGTGATAATCTTTGAATGCCATTTTATCATTTATTCATTTTTAATCATTCCTTTACTTTAAGATCTCAACAATCCCTTATTTAGAATTTCTCCAGACAAAGAGGAAACAAAGCCCCAATAATAAAGATAAACAGGTACAGTGTTTTCTGTGATGGTCTGTCTGGCTCAAATGAAGATTGATCACCTCTAAATTAAGAGGGGGGGAGGGGTGCCAGGTTCTTGACAATTTGCCTGGAAAACCAGTTCATTCTCTTTAGTTTTTGCAGATCCCTTTAAGACATCAGGCTAATAAATCTCTTGATTGCAACCCCAATTTCACATTTAAGGTAGTTATTTTTTTAACATAATACACTAGTTAGTAATGAAGCATAACAGTCATGTTGAGTTACAAAACTATCAACATTTTAAACAATTGGTTTTGCAGGATATTTAATATGATGAAGCACCCAAAAAGTGATTAGACAACTGCAAAGTGGAATCTATTCTTTCCAAATTAAGATATGTGCACACCTGAGTCATGAAAATAAAACATGTTGAGTTCTATAAAATTGCCAAATTTATAAATTGCCAAAAACAGAACAAAGGCAATCTAATGACCCAAATCTAATAGCATTGCCAGCTTCAATTTGTCTTTAAAAATCACAAACTACAGTGATACATTATCATTTTGTTCATGGAATTTACATCAGTAATTACCCAGAACTACATCTTCTTTCATCCTGTAAGTTACAGTTGGCCATTCCCTCCTCTCCAAAGTTACATACACTTCAGTTCACATATATCCCAGAAAGCCACTTTATTCAGAGTCAGATTTAACTACAGCAGAATTATATTTACAGAATATGAAAATTATATACACACTTGCTAAAACGAGAACAGACCAGACCTAAGGGACAATACCCAGGCATGTTAATGGAGTTTAAAATGCCAATGAAATCACACCACAATCCCGCCTGGTATACTACGGGCTGTCATACTGAAATGCGAAGCCAGCTCTGAGGAGTGCAGCAACTCCCTTCCTCAGGCCCTATTTAATTAGGAGGCTTTAACAGAGCAAAGTCTGCCAAGCTTTCTCGTTCTGATTCTGAAGGGACCCTAGTGAGCAAGAAGAGTGCCTGATCAACTCCAAGGAAGCTTGCCCAGAAATGGTGGAGTCAAAACCCGCTGGGGTGGGTTCCACCCTTCGCCCCCCCTCCTGGAGAGTCTGTCTGGCCTTGGTCGTGTCCATTGGGCCTGGGAAACCATCCAATGAATGATTCTTTTCTCAACTTCCCTCTACCATCTAGGAGCTGGGAGGTAAGAGACAGGCATCCCAGGCTGCAAAAACAAGGTCTTTTTCAGGAGGAGAGAGAAAAGAGGGGGCAAAGAGAGCAGGAGAGAGAGAGAGAGAGAGAGAGAGAGAGAGAGAGAGAGAGAGAGAGAGAGAGAGAGGAAAGGAGTGGGGGAGAGACAGAGACAGAGACAGAGAGACAGAGAGAGACTTGAAACCCAAACTGATTGGGAATGTGTGACCCGGACTCGAATGCTAGACCAGTGCACGCTCATGGCACTTTTGCCAGGAATCAGTTTCCCCTGCAGTCACCATTTGATTTATTGCTTTCTCGTTCATTCTTTCTCATAAAGTTCTCTCTCTCCATTCGGGCTAGACTTTTTTCTGTAATGATGGGAAAGAGTCTGTTTTAGTCTTTCCCCAAGGATGGGTGCTCTTCTCAGTGAATCCGCAAAACCATCCCGTTTAATATGCCCCCAAATCTTCGCAGCTCCAATTTAAGTACAAGGATGCAAAGGTTTCTACACCTGCACTTTCCGTCTAGCTCAGACCCTTCCCCCCACCTCCTGCCTCAGGGCCCTGGAGCAGTTCTCCGAGCTCCTCCGGGTGGAAGTCGGTGGCCTCAGGGGTTGGGTGCTGTGGGAGGCTTGGGGTTCAGGAGTCTGGTCTGTACTGGACAGGCGCGTTTCCTCTGCGGGGTTAAGGGATCCGAGGGGCTACAGGATTTTGGACTTACCAGAGCAGTTCCAGCCGGTGGGCGTTTGGCAGTCACTTAAGGAGGTAGGGAAAGCGGCGAGCTTCACCGGGCGGGCTACGATGAGTAGCATCACCGGCAGCAGCAGCAGCCAGCAAAAGCCCTCGCAAAGTGTCCAGCTGCTGCACTGCCGCGGGGACTCCCACAGCACCATGACTAGTTCGCGCAACTCTGCAGCAGCAAACGGCTTCCCAAGAACACAGGATCGCGGGGGCCGGCCAGCGGGCTACTGAGCATCCCGCGGACGGCGGCAGCACAGGCAGCGGCGGTGGCAGTGACACCCGACGGGGACGCAGCAGCCAAACCCGCGCATGATCTCCTGAGTTTCAGCAACATCCAGTGACCCGGCTCAGCCCCAGGAGCGAGAGGGTCCTCCTCTGAGAAGCTGCGCCGGAGACGCGGGAAGCTGCTGCCATAAGGAGGGGGGCTCTGAGAAGCCCGGGGAGCAGGAAGAAACCGGAGTCCAGGGACCAGAGAGGAGCCCAAAGAGGCAGGGTGGAGAGCGAGTCAAAGCGCCCTGCAGCCTAACAGCCGCCTCTCGCGCTCTGCCGCCCGCATCCCTCTGGCGTTGGGGAAGCAGCAGGTCCTCAGCCCGCCCGGGATCACGTGGCAAGAAACACTCCGGTGCTGATTGGCGGAGCGGGATGCAGTCCCGGGAGGGAGGGGTTGGCGAGGAGGTGCAAGGAGGAGGCAACGGCGGATGCTACAGATGGACGAGCTCGCCAGGAGATGGCCGAAGTGGGGCCAGCGGAGATGACTCAAGTGAGATGCGCGGGGTTCAGGGCGGATGCCCCCCACACCTTCAGATCCACCTGCCCGTCCACTTTGCGCCCCGCGACGCCCTCTGCCGAGCGCTGGGTCCGATCTAGCGCCCCTCTTCGGTGCGTGACCCCAGGCTGCGAGCGCCCGCCGCGGCGGGGTGGCGTCTCCGCGAGCTGGAGCTGGCGAGGGCGGAGGAGCGGCCGCAGCAGGGCAGGGAGGGGAGAACGCGCGGGCCTGAGAGCGTCCTGCGCTCGGGCTGCGGGAGCGCGCCGCCTGGCTGTGGCGGGGTACAGACCCGGAATACCGCCCCCCAAAGCTCAGGGTCGTTTCTCCAGGGAGTAGCTGAGAGCGGGCGAGGGTGAGAGGCTGGGGTGCGCGCACGGCGCTGGCTGGCCTGGAAGCTGCAGAGGTTCCCCTAGTAGCCGGCAGCCCTGGGGCTGCTCGCCGCGCGCCAACCACCCAGGCTCTCCCCGACCTCTCCTCCCTGGTGTCCTGCAGCCCCAGCCAAAGCCGGGGCGCGGAAGGTGGAAAGCCCTCGGCCAGCACACACACCTCCAGCCGGGCACCTATTTGTGTGGTCTCGGGGAGGTGCGGGCAGATAGGTTACAAAGGTCAGATTTGGTTGGGGCGAGCGGTCGGAGCGAGGAAGGAGCGGATCCCGGGCATCAGTGGCGCGTGGGCAGCCGGGCGCCTCCGCGGAGGAGCGGCTTGCAAGAAGAATGGCTCACCCGGCACCCTGGGAGGTGGCCCGGACCCCTCACGCCTGTCTCCACGAGATCGCCAGCGGCCCGGGCGGAGCGAGAAGGTCTAATTCGGCTGGAGTCTCTCGCTCTCCACCTTGCCTTTTTTCGCTTCCGCGGGCCCCGGGCAAACGGCATAGTGGGGAACGCCTTCTGCCTGCTGCAGTCTTCACGCACTTAGACACACTCCAGCCTAATGGTATTTTAGTCGCTAGTAACGGGACCGAGGGCTTTCCGGGACATGGACGGACAGAAGCATTTTTCTCCCGTGCCTCGGTCATTATTGCAGTCACTGTGTTTTGGATGCCACAGAAGGAAGAGTTTTCTGTGTGATTGTTCAGTGATTCAGGACTCTCTCTCTCTCTCTCTCTCTCCCCCCCACCCCCATTTTTTTCTCTTTTTAAATACCCCCTGCCCCCACTCCGTCTGTGGCCCCTGAAATTAAATGTTGTTTGATAGCATCTCAAAGGCAATTAGCGTCCAACGCAAATCACTTAAAAGAGGCACCAGTACACTTTAAAAACAAGGGCTATTTATCCTTTGCAGTTACCACCAGAAAAACAAATTGTGCCGAGCTACCCTTTTCAGTACTTTAACCTCCAACCTCCTCCCACTTCTGTGCTTTTTAACTTCTCCTTTCAGAGATGTGATCGTGCCGCACCTCACTACCTCAAAGAAATCTTTTTTTTTTTTTTCTCCTGTGTGAAACCCATCCTTTTATATTAGATCTCTGCCTCCGCCCCGAGATTACCCTCCCCCTCCAAAGATTTCTGGATCTCGGTGTCTCTCACTCCTGGCAATTAAGCAGCAGATGCCAGCATTCTAATCGGTGGCATCTCGCTCCTCACCGAGGAAGACTCCATTAAAACAGATCAATTTGACCAGACGTTGGAGGCATCAGAAAATCGGCTTCTAGACAGCACAGCTAAATTCCTCAAGGAAACGGAATACACATTAGATAGAGTTGCCAGCCCATATAGCAAAAACAAAGAATCAGAGATGTCTTTCACTGAACCTTTTCAACAGAGACAGCAACGTACATATATGCTTAATGTAGATCAAGATTTAACAACTCCCAGTCCAGAGTGAGAACATGTCATTTTCCATAGCAGGCTGGTATGGTAACTAATCAGGCTTATGAAAATAAGTCATGCTTGAAACTAAAGGCAAAATCCTTAAAAGTGTTTACATAGTAATTATGATAATGAAACAGGACCTGCTAGGATTTCAGTGCTTGGCTATATAAGTGGAAATTTACAGAACCTCTTAGCAGAGTAAAACTGTTATTGAATTCTCTGCTAAGTAAATTTTTGGCATGCTTTCTAATAATATGTACTCTTCCTAAGACATTTTGCCCAAAGTAACTTAAAACTCCAAAGGAGTTAATTACTGGTTGTGACTGGTTAACAAATGTAGTTGCTTCCACAGAGGTTCTTTAAATTATTAAACAGTTTGAAGCAAAGCCTTTCCAATAGGAATGCTATGATTTTTTTTGTTCAGTTTATTTTATACTTTGTGTTACAGTGCCACCAAGAAACAAATTCTGAAACTGGCAAGCACCACCAAGTGGCAGAAGAACATCATTCATTGAACAGCGAATAGTATTATTGAACACGTAAATAAAAACATGTACATTATTTAACTTCATTGTTAGTACCAAGGAAGTAGACAGACATTAAATTTTATGACAATGAAGACTGGATTAGTGATTGGATTAGTGCTTCAACTTTTCCCCCAACAGGGTCAAATCACTTTACTTACAGAATTGAATTTAAAACAAATTATACTTTGCATTGTGTATTATATGATTACTAATAATACAATCCAATCCTACCATGCATTTGTAAAATTTCTTCTTTTACAATAGTATCCAATTTGCTTTCAATATTACTGAGTTAAAACAATATATTTGTACCATACTCTAGAATTCACTTAGAGGGGCAAAGTCAAGCTGTCATATTTTTACTTAGGAATAGTACACAAAAATTTTTCTAGAAAACTTTAAAAAAAAACAAAACTTTTTTGCCCCTTGAGAGAAAGGACATTATTAAGAAGTGTGAGATTACTCAGAAGTTATGTGGGATGAAAGTGAAGGGAGAGAAAAGTTGTTTTGAAAGAATTAATATTAATTTAATAAAAGTAAATAAACCTGGGGAAATGAGACACACTGCCAATCAGAACTCAGTCTCCTTCCTGATTTCTGAAGCCTTGATAATGGTGTTACCTTTTCATGCTTCTTTGGTGTCTGACATTGTGCCATGCAGGGAAGGCCACTTATTATTATTTAATTCTAACAGCACCCCATGAGACAAGGAATGTCATTATTCCCATGTTATAGTGTTGCCTGGCAGGGCTGCAATCTTTATACATATATCTTTTTTTTTTTTTTTTTTTTTTTTTTTTTTTTTTATAGAGGCATGTTTTTATTTATTTATTTGTTTGTTTGTTCGTTCGTTTTGTTTATACATGCACTGGGTACAGTCAGAAGCGCGGGAGGGTGAGAGAATTCACCAGAGCCAGAGCGGGGAGCAGAGCAGGCAGAAGGACCAAAGTACACTGCTGAGGGGAGCAGCGGGCGGCAGGAGAGGTCTGCGCGCCATGTGGGACCCTCCTCCTGTGGCCGGGGAGCAGCCGGGGATCGAACCGGCGCCGCAGAGGTCGCTGGCAGCTTTGCAACCCAGCGCTCAACCGCTGCGCCACCGGGGAGGCCCAGGGCTGCAATCTTAGGAGCTGTGCAGGATGGAGGAAACATAACTCAAAAGTCCAAGTAGTGAGAGAGACTCCTAGAGGGGCTACATCTCTGGAGATGTAACACCTTCCTCCAAGGCAAGTCTCACTTTTATTTGGGGGTCAGATTCTGGGAAGGTGGAGGATGTGGATTGGGATACATAACAGTTGGGCACAAGGTAGGGGGTAATGAATAGGGGCTGTTGCTTGGGGGAGGTCCATTGTTGCTGCTAATGAAAACATCCTACCTCTATTCCCTTTTAACTTGTAACTTCCTGTCAAGGTGGTCTAGCTGGTTATGCTAATCTGGCCATCATGTCTGCCTTCTGTTTTCAGCAGATATCCTCATACTCAGTCTTTTGTCCTGGTGAGAGTCTCCCTGCCTGACTCTACATTTAGCTTCCTCAGCAGCAACTTTTGGTGCCAAGCAAAATCCCCAGTATAAGGGGAGCTGTGGAGATTCTGCATTATAGTGAGGTCATATGGATTTTAAAGCATCAACCAACTTGCCTCACTTCACAAACCTAGTGGTTGGCACAGACGGGACTCAGCACAGTAAGGTGTGATGTCAGAGTCCAAGACCTAAAGTCACCATTTTGTGCCATATGGCTGCCTCTTAGCCAATGAGAAGGAAAACTAATTGAGAACTTATGCATGTTCTGTCCTTGTAGCCTCTTTGCACTTTTTATGGAACAAACATTAAATCTCAACCATAAGCTAAGCCATACAGTGGTTCCCATACTTGGAATTTTTATGAAAAAATTAATAGCAATTACTTAAGTTTTTCCTTTTGTAAGTGAGATAAACTCCAAGTTTCATTAGCAGAGATTCTAATTCAGAATCTGGGTTTGTACTGTAGAGCCTATATCTTAATAATCATCTTAGAGAATTAAGGTGCTATCTATGCCTATATAACTAGTGAAAGTATGCCTGGTTTCTTACTCAATTTTTATCAGACTTTTGGCAGAGATGATTCTAAGAGAGGATAAAGGTTTACACTCTGTGCAGGTAAACTATTGTACACATCTGTCTATCTACCAGCAAGTATTGAGTTTTCTTATGCATATGTTCATCAAATATACTTTAAACTTCTAATGTGTAACTTACTAGATCTATGATGATAAAAAGTGTCCTTCAGTTTGCATTTATAATTTACTAACATAAAACAGTGGGTATTCTATAATCATAAATGTATTGAAACTTAAAGTGTTCAATTTGTAGATCAAATGCTATTGACAGTGTTTCAGTCAAAACAATAATCTTTGTTTCTGGTTGATGTTTTTCACTAACAGTAATCCAATTTGTTTTTTTCCATCCTCTGCTGCATATATAATAT